AAGGTGGCTGAAAATTCACCGTGCCACAGGTGGTGGAGGAGTATGGGGGGTCTGGGGGGGAGCTGGGGACACTGATCTATAATTCAGCAAGTTTTTCCTTACCAGTTGTTGCTTAGGGAAAGGATTTAGCAAAATCTTTTAATCAATAATTAGTAAGGTTTCCTGCCCCCGGAGTCGGGGCCATGCCTGTGCTCTGCTCTCCCAGCCCCGAGCCAAAGCGAGACCCCAGCTCGTGGCCCAGCAGAACCTGCCCTAAACTGAGCCCGTGCAAAGCTTGGCCTGGTGTCCTGTAACCGAGGGACAGGCTTCACCCACAGGATGCTGAGCTGGATTTCAAGCCCCCTGAAAATGTTGCCATGCCTGCCCACCTCCCCACCAGCTGCCCCCCCAAAATGTGACATTTAGCAGGGTAAAACCTGGCAGCACGGCTGGGACTGGTGCTCCTGTGTTACCCCGTTATTCACTCCAGCCTCAATCACTGCTTAAGGGTGTGATTTGCCAACTTCTGGAATCAATAATTAGTGAGGCTCCAGCTTCCTCAGCAGAAAAAAACAGCGAGCATCCTTCCTGGCAGCAGATCTCAGTCCTTGGGGCATTTTTGGCTGGCAGAAACCCAGGCGCAGCTCTCCCCGGTGAAAGCCCTGGCAGTACCATGAGGCCAGGGATGAGGATGCAGCAGGAGGGGGTTTGCTGGGGAATAACCTCATTTCCCCATGGAAAGGGGCTCAGCACTGGGAAACTGTGTCTTAAAGGAGCTCATCCTGAAACACGTGAGGACAGATGCCTCCATCACCCTTCCTTCCTTGCCCTGCTGTGGTGCAGGCTGAGCTCCCACCCTGCTGCTGGCTCCTTGCCCGGGGCCAGTGGCAGCCCAGGGGGCTGTGATCCAGCCTGGGCAGGGTTTTGCTCTGTGGGAATGGGATTTCTTGGGAAAACCCTGAGCCTGTCACTATTCACATGGGCAGGGGCACTGGGACTGCCTCCATCGGCCCCGTCCCCCATGCAGGGCGATGGGAAAGGGGGTTGTCCCATGCACAGGGCTGTGCTGTGGCAGGGTCTCCCTTGCCTGGCTGGGGAGCAGGATGAAGCCAGAATAAAGCCAAAAAAGTTTTTTCAGAGCATGATGTTGCCTCTTGATACCTCTGGTGAGGTCCAGGCCCTGCTGCCAGCTCCTTGCCAAAACGCAGGAGGGAAGGAGGGCCAGGGCAGACGGCTCACGTCCCCCGACCCTGCACCTCTCATATGTGCTCTGCTAGGACTACACAGTACCTATGGCCCCCGCAGGGCTGGCACGCATCCCCGGAGCTGCTCAGGGCGCCTGGGGAAGGCTCGAGCTGTCCCCCAGCAAGGACAAAACTCCTGGTGCAGCTGGGGAAACCCCAGCAGCCCCAGAGCAGGGCACCCCAGGGTGGCCCCCAGCGTAGCGAGGGGTGAGGCTTTGCTGGGGGTCAGAGGCTGTGCTGCGGGTGCTGAGCCCCTGCCTGTGCCAGCCGGGATGACCCCTTCGGTGGCACATGGGCAGGGACACAGTCTGGCAGATGCCTGGGGTGCTGGGGCCACCTCCCAGTGCCCCACTGTCCCCAGGGGATGCAGGGTCACCAGGCAGTGAGAGAGAAAGGGCCGCTGTAAACAGCCCTGCTGCTTGGCAAAAGCTGATTTTAGTGCATGTGGAGACAACGCCGGCACGGGAATGGAAAGGAGGATGAAGGAGACATGGCCATCTATGTAGAGCTGGCGTGGGCTCTGTGGCAGTGTTTGTTTGGGTGCAGGGGACATAGGCAGAGCAGGGAGGGGTGGTTTTGGCATGGGAACACGGGGACAGCATGGAGTGGGGAGCTGCTGTCCCCAGTAGCTATGGGGAGGATGGTGACAGGGATGGGGATGCTGCTCCAGCTGAGAGCTTTGGGCTGGCACTACGGATGTGACTGCAGACCCGGAGCAGCTGGAGAGCTTCACACCCTATAGAAATACAGGCTGGGAAAAGCACCTTATCCGAGCAATTAGCAGCACCTTCCCATCACAATAAAGTCTTCAGAAATGCTAAAACACTGCGTTGCCATCGCTGGGAGGTCCCCAGCAGCGCTAGGGGACACAGGACTCTTTTCACTGGCAGCAGGACCAGTGCTATGTCCAGGCCATCACCACTCACCCTGGCATGTCCATGTGAGCAAGAGATGGGTGAAAGAAACTTCATTCGACTCAAAGTTTGTCTTTGGTATTCGCTTTCCTGGCAAGTTTGGGGTTGCTGCCGCAGTGCTTGTTCCGGGGAGGCTCCACTGCCTTAGATGTTTTGCCAGATAAGGAGCAATACAGGCAGCAGAAACTGCCCCCTTGGATCTTGTCTCGTAGAGTTTGAGTTCGGCAGAAGATTTTTTTAGTTTCATTTTGGCTTAATTTTCTGAGAAATCCTCAAGTGATTGCTGAATGTCTGGGTAAGACTGCAGCCCCGGAGCAGCTGGAGAGCTTCACACCCTATAGAAATACAGGCTGGGAAAAGCACCTTATCCGAGCAATTAGCAGCACCTTCCCATCACAATAAAGTCTTCAGAAATGCTAAAACACTGCGTTGCCATCGCTGGGAGGTCCCCAGCAGCGCTAGGGGACACAGGACTCTTTTCACTGGCAGCAGGACCAGTGCTATGTCCAGGCCATCACCACTCACCCTGGCATGTCCATGTGAGCAAGAGATGGGTGTAAGAAACTTCATTCGACTCAAAGTTTGTCTTTGGTATTCGCTTTCCTGGCAAGTTTGGGGTTGCTGCCGCAGTGCTTGTTCCGGGGAGGCTCCACTGCCTTAGATGTTTTGCCAGATAAGGAGCAATACAGGCAGCAGAAACTGCCCCCTTGGATCTTGTCTCGTAGAGTTTGAGTTCGGCAGAAGATTTTTTAGTTTCATTTTGGCTTAATTTTCTGAGAAATCCTCAAGTGATTGCTGAACGTCTGGGTAAAAAAGAGCATTAAAGAACCAGGGTGGGCAGCTCCAGCAGAGCTTTCCGGGCTGCATGGAGGCGTTGGGGTGGGTAGGCTGGATGGAGCTGCTGGGGTAGGTAGGATGGATGGAGGCATGGAGGTGGACTGGACAGAGGCGCTGGGGTGGACAGGTCAGATGGATGCAGCAGGGAGGACACATGGCTGATGATGCTTTCTCCTTGCTGGCTGCTGGGGACTTTGCCTCAAGCAAGGCCAGTGCAGAGTGTGCCCATCCCACAGTGAAGGTGTTGGCTGGCCCCTGGCCTTCCTGGGGCAGCCCAGTGCCAGCAGGAGTCAGGGAGAAGCCACAGTGGTGGTGGAGGTCCAGGTCCCTGGGACAGGCACAGGGGCTGTCCCAAGTGGGGCTGACCTCTGTGCCTCACTGGGGGTGACTCCCATGGCCAGGCCCCCCGGGGTCTGGTCATCCCTCCTGTGCCCTGAGAGATGCTCGCAGAAGGTGCCTGCTGGGACACGTGGCAACCTGGTGGGGCTGGGCACCCCGCTGGCACCGACACAGCCCAGGGAGGGGGATGTGGTGGGGCTGTCCCCCACCCTTTACCAGAAAGCCAACCAAGCCAACCCTCTCCTGGGCTGCACCAGAAGCAGCGCAGCCAGGGGGGCGAGGGAGGGGATTCTGCCCCTCCGCTCCGCTCTGCTGAGACCCTCCTGGAGCCCTGCGTCCAGCTCGGGGGTCCTCAGCGCAGGACAGGCATGGACCTGTTGGAGCGAGTTCAGAGGAGGCCACAAAAATGATCAAGGGGCTGGAACACCTCTGCTGTGAGGCCAGGCTGAGAGAGGTGGGGGTGTTCAGCATGGAGGAGAGAAGGCTGCGGGCAGAGCTGATTGCCGCCGTTGAGGGCTTAAAGGTGGGGACAAACCTTTTAGCAGAGCCTGTAGCAATAGGACAAGGGGTAATGGTGTTCAACTACTTTTAGGGTGGATTCAGACTAGATATAAGGAAGAAATTTTTTACGATGAGGATAGTGAAATGCTGGAACCGGTTGCACGGAGAAGTGGTAGAAGCCCCATCCCTAAAAATATTCCAAGTCAGGTTGGACGGGGCTCTGAGCAACCTGGTCCAGTTAAAGATGCCCCTGCTCACTGCAGGGGGGCTGGACTGGATGAGCTTTAAAGGCCCCTTCCAACCCAAAGCATTCTGTGATTCTGTGTCCCCAGCAGGCGCCTGCAGGGACACGTGGCAACCCAAAGACTGGTGGGGCCAGGCAGCCCGCTGGCACTGACACAGCCCAGGGGAGGGGGATGTGGTGGGGCTGTCCCCCCTTTACCAAGAGGCTGGAAAAGGAGCATCTCCCCCCAGAACAGCACACAGCATAGCCGGGTGCTCCTGTTCCCTGTCCCCGGGGTGGCTCCTGGCAGCTCTGATGGGGTGCCTGTAGCTGAGCACTGGCGCTCTCGGCACAGCTGTGGCTGTGAGCTGTTCTATGGGCAGGGCTGCCGGGAGACTTCCCTGGGGCTGTGCCAGAGATGGGGCATGTGGCACACAGGGGCCCAGGCTGCCACGGCACAGGGTGCAAGGGACAGACTGGTTCATGTGCATACCCTGGTGTCTACACTGGCACCCCATCCTGGGGGACACGGGGTGACCAAGGAAATCGGGACAGAGCCAGGGCTGGCCATCAAAGGGACATGGCTGGCCATGGCCCCACCACAAACCACGTGTCCCTTGCAAGGGACCTGGTGCCCAGAGGCCAGCAGGCGAGGGACAAGGCTGGCACAGCCAGGGCCATGTGCTCGCTGCCGGAGCAGGAGCTTAGGCCAGGCTGATGCCCCAAGCTGCTCATCCCCTGGGCTTGGGCCGGGGGGGTTCGCGGGGGCCCCCAGGGGTGAGCAAGAGCCGCAGGGAGCCCTGGGCAACCGCAGCAATACGTGCGTATGCGCGTGTGTGTGCATACATATGTGTTCCCATCCCACCCTCCTCCATACTGGTGCCACCGGGGCGATGCCGGCCAGCGCGGGGAGAGCAGGCACGTTGGAAGGACACAGAGACAGGGATGCTGAGCCAGCACTAGTTCAGTGTCGGTGTTTATTCGTGTGACACTCAGGGCAGGGGGACAGGAGCAGGGGACAGGGGGACACGGGGAGAGACATCTGCGGCAAGGGGGGAGCCCACGTCCCCAGCAGCAGGGAAGAGGGAAGGGACCGGCGAGGGGCAGCCGGGTGCCAGGAGGTCCTGGCAGGGTTAGGAGCACTCGGATCTCTTCAGGGTCTTGTCCTGGGGTACAGACTCGTGTGTGGCCCTGCAGGTGTAGGTCTCGTGGCTCTTCCATTCGGTGGCACTCAGCGTCAGGTAGCTGCTGGCCATGTACTTGTTGTTGGTCTGCCGCTGGGGCTGGCTGGTCTCCACGCCACTGCTCCCAGCAGACACACCAGGGTGGCTTTGTTCTGCGACGAGAGCTGATCGCTGGACGGCGGGAAGAGGTAGATGGTAGGTGCAGACTTGGGCTGGCCTGAGAGGGGAGAGAGCAGAGGTGGGGGTCAGGGAGTGCCCCCCCACAGCACCCTGCCTGCCTGCCCGCCCCCCCAGCCGGCCCCGCCCAGGGACACCCCGCTTCTCCCACAGCTAAGGATTCGTCATTTATAACCTGAATGTATTTAGATCTGGGATACATATATATATATATACACACATATATATAGAAATAAAAAAAGTATATATTTATATAGATGTGTATTACACATACACACATACTTCTATATAATATATATTATATAATATATAATATTGTTATATATTATATATTATATATTAT